GTGGCGATGGAGGGCCAGGGAAGGAGGAGCGGGGGCTGTGGGGAAGAGGAGGGCGAGCCGGGGGTGCAGAAGGGGGCGAGCGAGGAGGCCGGGCAGGGGCAGAGAAGGAGCGGGAGGGCTAAGGGAGGGGTCGTGCCCTTGGTTGGGAGGGGGGCAGAGGCAGACGTGCTGCGTTTCTAACTCACTGGGTTGGGCTTTTCTGTTTTCAGTCTGTGTTTTGGTTCTTGTCCCTCGTGGACGCTGCTGGTAGAGGAAATGGTAGTGGAGAAGGCGGGTTCGAGCCCCCCGAAGACCGTAGGTGACAGGCGGCCCCAGCAGCAGGAGCCACTGGGGCACGTGAAGAAAAGCAAGCAGCAGGTCAGCGATGGATTCACTGTCAAAGCCATGATGAAAAACACCGTGGTATGTCTGCTGCTAGTGTAGGGGTGGTGTTAACTGATTTACTCGCACGTGCCCAGGAAGCATAGCAAACCAGAACTGGGGACAGAGACTGACAGGCAGGTGTGTGGGTTGCTAAGACTTTATTTGGAGTTTGTCAGTTGCTGGAATTACTTTCAGACTTTACAGAAGTGTTATCATAAGGTAACAGCCTGTGCCTGTGGAAATGTTGATGCTTTGCCTCAGAATACATTGCTTCAGTGTCACCGTATTTCTATATTGATTTTTATTGGCAGTGCACGTTGTATTAAAGTACTAGCATGTAGAATTGCGTGCAAGGCTTGCCACTCTGTGTTTAGCAAACTCCTGTCACGTGATACTGTAGTGTTGTATGAAAACATGTTCATCTGCTGTTGCTTTGTGGTATAAATTTGGTGTGAATGTCACACAGGATGACAGGGACCTGGAAAATATGTTTCATTTTTAAAATATGCTTGAAAAACAATAAAAGCCTTTCACACTATAGGAGACTATTCAGTTGGAAACAAATGTTGATTCTGTGATAGCTCTTAGAATGAGCAAGATAAAAATCTAGCAACCTCCTTTCATTAATTGACTGAACTTTTAATGATTTTAGAGGTATACAAGTGAAAATACTAGGTTTGGGCACTTTTGTGTTGTTCTATATTGGTTTATTTGACTGCTTCTATTAGATTTTAGGAATAAAAATAAAAGCTTCAGCTAGTTCAGAATGCAGATGTTCAGCATGACCGTGGACGAGCTGTTATGAGCACACATCTGTACATAAAACTCCTAGATAGCTTTTTGTTTGTTTGTTTACTTCTGAGTACAATTCAAGTTGTTAGAAAAGTTTTGTCTTCTCAGGATTTTTCAGTTGTGTATATTCTTGTAATAACTGCTATGAAATACATGATTTCCTGTGTTTTGCTTGAACAGTTAACCCTGTTACAGTCTTCCTGGGCTTGTTGTTTCTAACAGCATTTTTTTTAAAAGTTTTTAAACAAACTTCAAATGGAAAGAAATTGTATAAATGAACGTTCTTTTTCAGTGGTAGTAAAATTAAAGCATGCTTGACCTCAGTAGAATGAATGTAAAGCAAAAACAACCGGCGTTTTGCCTTAAAGATTGTTTGATTTGTTTGTTTTTAATTCTAGATCTATGTGGCATAGACTGTAACACTTCAGCAAGTTTAAGGATTAATTTTTAAAGACATTTCCTCTTCTCCAGACAAAATTTCACTTCACAGGAATAAGTGCAAATATGCATTCATGCATTGATACTTCAAAGGTACTTGATCTAGTCTAGAAGAATCAGCAGAGTTTCAGCAGCATTGAAGAATCTCTGTATTTCATTAAAAAAAAAAGAGCTTTGGCTGATGACTATAGCTTAAGCTATCAGTTTAATCAGAATTTAAGTTTTCTTGTAAATAATTAAAGTTTTAACTTATGGCTAGGATTCTAACTTTCTAAACATTAACAGAATGTTAAACTATGTGGTACTCTGTAATCAGCAAAGGGGCAAATCTGCTGCCTCTTGGGCGGCTCATTGAATCATGGAAATGATAGTTGGCAGGGACCCCTGAAGGTCATGTAGTCCAACCTGCCTTTTAAAGTGGGGCTGTCACTGGCACTAGACCAGGTCAGCCACGCATTCGCCTTGCTGAGCCGTGAGCTCCAAGGGCAGGTTCCGTGACCTCCCTGGGCAGCCTGTTCCATTGCAGCCCTCCCCTCCTGGTGCCCTGCCAGCGGTGATGTTAACAGACATCTGACCCTTTCCACAGAGTGTGTTCATAACTCCTTGCTTAGGACCTAGTGAAACTGTTAGAGGTCCCGGAAGATTCATAATGCCGTGGCTGTTTCTTGCAAAAGGTCTGAGTGAGGCCAGGAAGCCACTGGAATTATTTTCCTGGGGTCAGTGCTCAAAAAGTTAGGGTACAGTTAGGAATAATATCTCACTGCCATTCTATATCTGTTCAGAAGTGGGAGTTCCTTTTCTCTTCTCCAGCAACTGATGAAATGGAGCTTCAGATTTCTTAAGTAGTCACTTCCCAGAGGTTGACATCATAGGTGAAGTTGTCATGGGTGGCTTAGGAATTGATTGGTGGGTTAAAGGCATAGCAAACTAATATAGTTAAGGCATAGTAATTCTTTTTGTTAACAGCCTGCCAAGGAACAGTGCTGCCAACAACATGTTCAGCATCTCCAGGTCAAACAACTAGGTATGGATTTGGTGGAAGCATACAGTGAGGCTTAAACTCTTAGCGTAGAGTCTAACAGGTTACCATTATGCCTATATGGCTGTAAATGTTGTAGTAAAGGTTCCAGAATACTGCTTGTGCAAAGAGTGTCTCACTAAATCATTTTTCATGGAAGTCACTGGATAAATTGTCTTCCCAAGTCTAACTTTGTAGCCGGTAGCCAGCCAGTAGTCAGTACAGAATTATAGGCCTCTGGCAACTCTCGCAGAATACTGAGAGGCAATCTCATCAATGTGTACAAGTATCTGAAGGGAGGGTGTCAAGAGGATGGGGCCAGACTCTTCTCCGTGGTGCACAGTGACAGGACAAGAGGCAACAGGCAGAAACTGAAACACAGGAAGTTCCAGCTGAACATGAGGAAAAACTTCTTCACTGTGAGGGTGACTGAGCACTGGACCAGGTTGCCCAGAGGGGTAGTGGAGTCTCCTTCCCTGGAGTTATTCAAAAGCCATCTGGACACACTCCTGGGTAGTGTGCTGTAGGTGACCCTGCTTAAGGAGAGGAGTTGGACTAGATGATCTCCAGAGGTCCCTTCCGACCTCAACCATTCTGTGATTCTGTGATTCTGTATTATTCAAGAGTTTTCTCAGCTTTGGCATGTTATATCTAAAATTTATTAATTTAAATACATTACTTGATAAAAGATTCACCAAGAGTATTATTCCTGAACTGAGGAATGTATTTGGTTATATATTATTTCCTTCCAAAACTGAAAATGTATTTAGCAGTGTAGATTTAGAACTAGATTCAATAAAGGTCTTCCACAGTAATAAGCTAGGTACGAATGACATTTACATCTTATTTGTTTAGTCTTCAAAGTGGAATCAAGAATGCCATGTTAGGTGCTTAGACTTCACATCTAATCCATGGGTAGAATTAGGAAAAAAACTAAAAACTTGTATGCACAGTAGAAAAATGTTTGTATGTGAATCTGGGCAGCAGGAGGATACCTCTGTTCACTTCTGAATCTCTCCAAACAGTTGGTTATTTTTTCCCAGACACTGAACAAAGCTTATTTTTGGCCTTCTGCTCCTGTCCATGAGAGAATAAGTATTAGTGCCCATCTTTTCTGTAATAATCTAGTAGTAAAAGCACTTTTGCAGAGAGAAGATTCATTTTGCTATTTAGGGAAAGGTAGGGAGGGAATTCAAGACTTTATCTCCCGCCTTTTAGAAGAATCTCTTAACTAGCAAGCTACAGAGTAGCTGAGGTAGAAAAGATGGTATAAGGAACAGTTTCCACCTATTCTTCCGAAGTTCTATTACTGTGCTGCAAAGAATTAAGGATTCGTAGGGCTAGAACGAGGTACAGTAGGAAAGTCAGTAGCCAATATAGTATAGTGAATGTATCATCCATACTGGAGCCTGGGAGCTTTGGTTTCTGAATTTTAGGTCCACTCTTGCTGGCTAGGATGGGATCTGATGGTTCTGGAATTGAATTCGAGCTTAAGACAACCTCTCTCGTGAGTACTGAGCCCATAAAGCTATAAATCCATGTTCTCGTTTTTTGCTTTTTTCCATGAACCTTGAATTCCTCACTGTACAGACCCAGGGCTTCATCAGGGAGGGTAGAGTTTATCTTTCCTCTGCAGGTCCTCCTTTAGTAACACTGTTGCTGTGTAAGTTGGAGTACCCTTCCCTAACATGTTATTGAACTTCTCTGGCCAAACAGAGTACTGAATTCAGATAACCTTCTTCCTAGCCTAGTACTTAAACCAGTAGGCCTTATATAGAAAATGTCACTATTCCATCTGTGTTGCATGAAAGCAGTCAGAAATTGCTGTTAGTAATGTGTTAGTCTCACACATCTTGCCTATGTGTGAGACGTAAAGTGAGAATGTTTGCTGGTTGAATTTATAAGGGGAGTGATGCTAAGAATTATTCGGTTCCTGGATCACAAATACTGCAGCAGAGCTATTCAAACCTGGAAGAATCTTAGGTATGTGCAGAAGCACACCTCCCATCTCCTAAAAGAAGTGTAATTGCTTTTAAGCTGAACAAAGGTTATTTGGATTCCAGTTTTGAATTTCCGTTCCTCTGTTCCTGATTTTCCATTCCTCTGTTCCTGGATTGGACTGAGACCTCAGTCTGTCATGTTTAAACTCCTCCTTCACACAATAATCTCAGTACTGTGTGTTGCGAAGAATTTCTTTACATAATGAGGGATAATAACTCATAGGAAGAGTTTCATTTTAACCACAGAGTTAATGTGATTCATTTAAATTCTGCAACTTGGGATTTGATACTCTGTTCATATTCATTCACAGTGTATAACTAAAACTTTTTTTGTTATTTGCATTGTAGGAGTAACAGTGTGTAATCATTGGTTTTAAGTCCATAGGAAAGTGGCATTTACAAAAAATTGTTTTACCTTTTTATTAGAATAGCTAATTCAATTGGAAAAAGCAGAAAAGTTTTGGGCAAGCAGATGTCAAGTTACAGGCATATTTTGATAAAAGTTTATTGAGCAGTAGTATGTTTAACAATAGTAATTTTGTACAATCTGCAAGTATAGTTCAGTGAACACTGTACGTCAGTTTAAACTGTCACTGCTCTGGAGGGTAGTCCTCTCTATTTTCTGTTTCAGGCTGTTTATTGCTGCTACCCCTTATTGTGTACGTGTATACATTTATACAGTG